TGTTGAAACGCCGATCACTCTTTTCGGTATTTTTAAAGCCCATTGACATCCCAGAAATCGGAGTATTGGTTTCAAAATGTATGTGTTACGCAACAAAATCAACTGAGACACCTGAACTTAAAATTATGGAAGCATGAAAAGTCACTTGAGGCCCGAAAATCCAAATAATTATTATATATACTACGATGTAAACCCAGACGAAGTACATCGTTTTTAAACTTGTCACAGTGATGATCGTCATAATATCACCATGTATGATCAATTTTGACTATTCATTCATTCCTTAACCTTAACGAATGTGGGAGACGAATTAAAAACCCATTCTTACTATTTGCTAACTTTATTTCATTCAAAACCCTAAAACTGTTATTACCCAATGATGTCTTTGTAACATCGGGATGCTAAAATCTGAAATGCAGACATTTTTTTTTTACCCAGGGGATGCAGTCCTTATTTGACCTCCGAATTCATTCTCCTTCCCATATTATCTCTGCCACAACACACTGCCATTTTGTGGTGTACATTTTACTATGCGTAATCTTGGCGTGTTTTTGTTATTAAAGGGATCTTTTGTTGATTTATTTCTACTGCTAAACAAGTTTTAAAATTTTTTATCAAATGCTGATAATGATTTTTTTGAATCTACTAAAGATTGTACACTTTCATTGGGTTTGAAAATCAAACACCTGCAATGCTTGCAATAAACATGAGATCCATGGCAAGATATATTTGTAGAAATCGAACTCTGATTAGGACATTGCTTCTGACTCAGAAGTCAGCTAGTGATAGTGCCCTTAATTGGACAACAAAACATTACTTTTCTTTTTAATAATAATAATTTTTCAGATAATAATCACCAAATAAGAGTTTTGAGACTGGCAAAGATACTCCAGTACATCATATGTAATGCTGCTTGTGTAATAATGTTTTTGCAAACCGAGAATCAAGTAGGTGCTGTTATTTGTAACAGTTAATATGAAAAGTCATAATGTTTGGGTCTGCAGCCCAGTCACGTTTATGACCAGCTTTGCACCTATTAATACTAATAGCAGATAGTTTCCTGACTCAAGTGATTCCAGTCATTAATAACTCTTACTGAGAAGAATTTAGCTTTTTTCTGCAGTTTCAGAATGTGGCCCTGTGTAGTTTTACCACATTACAGAACAAACATTGCCTTATCCGGACAAACAAGACAATAGGTATTCTGGTTATTATGATCATGTTCGTGGATAATTTCATAGGTTTGAATTAAGGTAGCATGCTTGCGACGATAATGTAGAGTTGGAAGTTTGAGCCTCCTCAGCCTTTCAGTATATGTTTGGTATGGTTGGAACAAGTTTTGTTGTACCCATATCTTTCTTTCATCAATGTTGCGAATTTGTATAGTTGCCTAATATTATGTGTATGTGCTGTCAATTAAAATGTATTTGTTGTTGTTGAAAATTGTGTGTGTCGAATTCTAAGGGTTTTAATACATGCCTTCCAAAGGCTACATACACCGCCATTGTTCAAAATAAAAACGGCCTCACGCGGCTATGACTGCCAATTCAAATGTAGAACCATGACGTAATATCGTCTGATTAATCCATGACAACTAGGGGGTATATTCACTCAAAAACCTTCTGGCGAGCCAATATTCTTGCTCGTTGCCAGCAAACTACTAGTATGTGGAAACCATTGAATTTATTCACGGGAGAGTTGCCGACCTGCAAATATTATGGGCGACATGCACCAGCATGGCAAAAAACATCTTTTTTCACTTTCCCGTGTCCTAAAAAGGGTCTTGTATGGGAGGCAAACATTGGTACAGATTCCGTATTTGACTCGGGCTCGTTATTTCATTTTCAGTGAAATCTCTAATTTAGGCATCATATTTGAACATTTCAATCTTTCCCGGCGCTAAATTAGAGTATAATTTAAGTTGTCCGTGGTATTTGACACCTATTCAAGAGTATGGTAATCATTGTGGCTAGCGTGATGGGGTAAACTTTGTTTCCACAATGAGCTGTTATCACCGTGCAAACAGTGCAACATGAATATGATTGAGGATGAATTCCACTTTCTCATGATTTGTCCAAAATATGGAAACTTGCGCCAGCAACTTTTGTCTGAATTAGATTATCTACTGTATCACATGATTCACACAATACATTTATTCGATTGCTCAGTGCTGATGAATGTGAAACTATTAAAAAGCTTTCACAGTTTATTTACAAAGCTTTTCAAGAAAGAATAGATAGTTGATAGTTTTGAAATTTTATTATTATTAATTGGTCTTTAACTAATATGTTTAACACATTACATCATTTTACTTTTATACTTAACATTATAATATTTTCTTTCTTTATTATTTCATTATTATTATTATTATACTTTGTAATACTTGTATTGCTACTGTACTAATAGAAATACTGTATTTCTATAGATGCAATCAATATTATTATTATTTCATAACAATTCAACACATTTATTTTTACCTTATAGGAAGGTAAGGTATAGGAGGAGAAAAGTTTCCGTCTGCGGCGTCTGTCATTGGGCATGATTACTATGTCTTGTTAGCGCAATAAGTCGAAAAAAATATTTATTCAACTGTTTTTATTTTACTATATATTCTGGTTTAATATATACTTACTTGACCAAGTTCAAAGTTTTATTAATCCCCGTTCGGACGCAGTCCGAAAACGGGGACTTATGTTTTGACCTCTGACGTCCGTGCGTCCGTGCTTCCGTCCTTCCTGTATCTTAGAAATGCCTGGACCAATCACAATCAAACATCATACATGATATTATACATATGCACATCAATTTGTTTCACGATCTGATTCAAGATGGCCGAATGGCGGCCATTTTTGTTCTAAAAATCATCAAAATCAAGCATTTCTCAGCTGTTTACAGATGGATTTTGCTCAAACTTGGTATATACATTGGACATTATAGGACCTTGATCCACATAATTTTGTTTTCAGATAAGATTCAAAATGGATGACTGGCGGCCATTTTGTTTTAATGAATGTGGTTCTAGTGCCATATCTCTGACTTACTGTGACTGATTATGTTCATTTTTTAATATTCATTATACATGTATTCAAAATGGCTGATTTTGTTTTAATTAATGCTGTTCCAGAGCAATATCTCTCAATACTCGTTTGACGATCAGATACAAATGTCAATCATTTAAATGTTAAACAATCATCATAATCATATTCCTGACATGTTTATATTCCAGCTATATTACTATAAACAAAACTATATATCTTAAATTCGATAACTAATCGGGACTGTGCAATGCATGGCTTGTTTTTTCAAATATTGGTAAACAAACTCGACTGACATACCTGGGTTCAAGCCCGGGACCCGGCGTCATTTTTTTCCCTCTTTGTTACTGTTATTTAACTGTATTTAATCACTTTGTATAAGCAACTGATTCTTCCTATTTATTTTTTATTTGACATTTTTTGCTTTTTTTTTAAGAAATTGAAATCAGGGCTCTCTATTCAAAGTAGTGCTTGGCTGCTTGCTAACCTTGTTATTCAGCTTTCATTTGATTATATATTCGGATTTAATGTAAATACTTGACCAAGTGGAAAGTTTGTGTGTGTAGCTCAAATAGTTTATGAAATATTGATAAAATAGTAGCTTAAATTCTGCATTGGTTATACAAGGGATCCGGCAGACCTGGGTTCAAGCCCAGGACTTGGCTTCATTTTTCCCCTATTGTTCCTGTTTTTCACTGTTTTTTTTGCTTTTTATTGAAATAGAGAGCAGGTTTCTAATCAAAGCAGTGCATGGTAGCCTGCAAACCTGGGAAAATATTTTAAACTATTTTTTATTATACTATATGTAGATTCTTAAACAATGTTTGGCCAAGTTCAAAGTTGCTGTGCCTAGGTTCTAAATATTTGGAGACATCTGTGGAAATGCCTAAATGTAGCTTAACATGTAAAATCAATTTCTGCATTTGACTTGCAACATGTCAAGGTCAAAAAGTCATTTGTGAATTGTAAAATTCAGTGGGTTAAGTCATGGTTTAAACTTATCTCTGGATCCTAAAAATAAATCTATAAAACGACTCTGTTCCTAGCAAAGTTTCAAAATAATGAGAAATGTTTTCCAATTTTCTTTTTTCTGCTTGTATTCAATTCTGCTGTTCCTTAAAACACATTTTAATATGAGTGCAAAACCGTGTTCAAAGCAGTGCTTAAATGAATAGGTATGTGATGGGGAAATATAAAGTTGGTTAAATGGTGGGGGCATTTATACACTGTCTCATCAGAAAGATAGATTCTGTTTAAATCATTACATCTCTCTGGGCTGTGAATATAAATTTTAGCATATTTGGTTGACCTAATTATATATATATATATATAAATAATAATAATTTGTAATGGAGAGTGCAGCTCTGACCATCTGCCACAACATACATATCTGTACAGTTGACAGAGTACAGTCTTTGAGAGTAAGTACTTGGGAATGGGTCTGAATTGGGGATGAATATCCTTGGCTATAGAAAAAGTGATTACACTTTGTAATAGCATTTGAAATAATGCAGACCAAGATGAAGATTCGTGAAGCCTAAGTAAAGAACCTTACATTTTCCACGATGGAAACACATTTGCATTTTTGAGAAGACCAGTTCTGTAGTTCATGTAGATCAAGCTTAAGCTAAACTGAAGCTGAGTTTGTAAGAGCAGAATATATATTTGTGTCATTGTGTCACTGTCTTGGAAGTTCAGCATTGTCCAAGCTTGACTAGAAGATTATAGTTAATGGTTTACAAAATAAGGGTGCCATCTTTTTCAGGATACTTGGGTAAACTTTGTTAAGTCCGAGAGATCCATCTATTTTCAAGCTATTGAGCAACTTGAGTACCTTTTGGTCTGAGATTAGTGGCTAACTGTCTGGTATATTGTCCATATTTTCAGAAGTGAAAACTGAGTAGTACTGGTCACTGAGAACCTCAGCAACTTCATTTTCATTATATCTTGTTTCTATGCCAACAGATCCAGAAGATGAATCTGCTCTTCCAGTGAACCCTCCTACTATTCGTGGAACACAGTCATATGAGAAATGGGTTATAGATATAAAAAAAGACAGTGCTGAAGTGATACATGATCCACAAAAGTCAAGGATGTTTGCAACTTGTGCTGCACAACTTAGAGTATGTATATTACTATAAACATTTCGAAGGCAGACTTTGTGATATTATTTTCCACCTTTAATATAGATAGCTTGAATGACGAGAAGTCAAATTGACTCAATTATTGCTTGAAAATTAAAGTGCTGAATAGTATGCATTTGAAGAAGTTTTGTATGTTGGGGGGGGGGGGATCTAAATATTTATTTCAAAAAGCCATGTTCATAAACACAGTTTCGGGGTTAGTATCTGAGCTTTAGTGGTGTATGTTAAGTTATACCAACAATTTCTACTGTTGCTTTCTGGATAATCCCCAAATGATAACAGTTGGATGTATTCATAATTGGAACCATTTGATTTATGTATGATGCTTGGAATACTGGAATCTGATCTGCCTGTTTTTTTTTTTTTTTTTGGTTTTTTTATAAATTGTATATTTCCTATTTAGTACATATCACTTGAACGGTTTTTCTCTCTTTGTTGGTCTTTTGGTGGTGCAGTTTTACTTCAGGATTGTGATTGTGTATGTTGTATATAATAAAGGTAAATATATTATATATGTACACACAGGATATATCCCCTCAATGACTCCAGGGACAGAATTTATTTCCTTCTTGTCTTCTTGACTGCCCCCCCCCCCAGACAGGATATATCTTCTCCCTGACTGTTCCCCCTCCAGGGTCAGAATATATGTGTGATATGACTGCTTCCCCTCCTATTCCAAAATACCCCCATTCTAATACATTGTTTTGTCAATTATTTAACTACAAGGAAACTCATTACTTGTACAAACATTAGTATCTATGGGGCCATCACACAAGTATGTCTACTCAATGTTGCGAAAAAAACAGTCAAATAAACCTCCCTCTCTGTCGTGAGCAAGCTTATTAATATAACAAGAACAACATAAAAGTATAATTCATTCTGCATTCAGGAATACAACAATGCACTATTCATCAATGAAGATGTCAGAACTTTAGATGCTTTACGATATCTTCAGAAATATTTTAAGAGTCTTGAAGATCGACAGGAAGGGTTTGATCAGCTGGATAAAGACCTGGTACAACTTTTCCAAGGTAACTTATTTTTATGACTATTGTCAGAAGTTTATGAATACTATCTTCGGTTAGCTGTCCATGGACGTCAACTTGTATAAGATTTGTCTATCATAATCCACAGGAGAAAAAAAATTGTTTCCGCTCAAAAAAACATCCTAGGGGTTGTAAATTACAAAGATCTATTTAATATGAAGTTAAAACAGCGATTTTTCTAACAGAATCTTGTTAACACATTACTTGATAATGCTTTTTGACTCCCGTGTGATAAGCAACAATGGGAGTCTTCTTTGTGTGTGTGTGTCCGTCTGTTCCACTGATATCTCAAGAACCATACATCGGTTTTTGATGAAACCCAATGCGCAGATTTGATTAGGTTTTGGTAGAAATCCTTGCATATTAATTACCTAATTTGCATGATAATTAGTTCATTTTTAGCTGTTCCATGACTGTTCCACTGATATCTAAAGAACCACTCATTGAATTTTGATGAAACTTGGTACATAGATGCTCTCAACTAATGCCAGGTTTTGATTAGTTTTGGGTGAAAATCTTTGCATAATAATTACCTAATTTGCGTAATGATTAGTAAATTTTCGGTTTTTCCACTGATATCTCAACTACTAATAATCACATTTCAATGAAACTTGGTACCTAGATGTCATAGGACACTGCACAGACCTGGTAGTTTTTAGGGTAATATCAGTACATATTAATTACCTATTTTGCATAATAAATTAATTTCCAGCTTTTGATATTTCAAGTAGTAAGCATTACATTTCAATAAAACAGGGTACATAGATACTCAAGGATTATGCAGATGTTGATTCTTTTGGGATAAATATTTGTGCATATTAATCACCAAATTTGCATATTTAGTTAATTTTAGGATTTTACCGTATATCTCAAATACTAATCATCACATTTCAATGAAACTTTGTACATAGGTCCTCTAAGACTATGCAGAGAACTGATTAGTTTTGGGGTAAATAATTGTGCATATTAATTACCTAATTTGCACAATTATTTAATTTTTACCTTTTTTCACTGATATCTCAAGTACTAATCATCACCTTTAAATGAATCTAAACTGTGCAGAGAGCCAATTAGTTGTTGGTATATATTTATGCATATTAATCACCTAATTTGCATATTTAACCAATTTTCAACTTTCACACTGATATCTCAAGTACTAATCATCATATTTCATAGAAACTTTGTACATGGATGCTCTAGGACAATGTACAAATATGATCAGTTTTGGGTTAAAATCTGTTCATATTAATTCCCTAATTTATTTTTACTGTGTCTCTAATACTCTTAGCACACGGGAGTTCTTTCTAAGCTTTCTTTGATTTTGACTCCTATGTGCTGAGCACATAATAGGAATTGTTGCAGTTACCTCTAGGACAATGCACCAATATCTCAGGTACAAATCATCAAATTTCAATGATTCTTGGTAAATGAATGCTGTAAGGCAATGCGATAACCTAATAATTGGGTTGCAATATTTCCATAATAATGAAAATTGATATCTCAAAAGCTATTCATCACATAGCAATAAAATTTAATACATATGCAATGTGTTTAATATACCTACACGTAAAAAACAGCGACTTCAATTATTGCATCAATATGTTTTTGTTCTTGTGCACCTCTCTGTTTTAATTCAGAGTTATGTACAATTCTATATTTTATAGATAAGCAACCTCAGCTAGAAATTATTGCTGCTGACCCATCATTCAGTAATCCATTGCTGGAAAAACTAGGATCTTTAATCCAGTTGGCATACCAAGAAAATGATTCATCACAGGCAATTGTATTAACAAAAACCAGAGCTGCATGCTATGCACTTCAAAGCTGGATGGAAGAGACAGATGAATTGAAACACCTCAATCCTGGTGTGTTGATTGGTAGCGGTGGCAGTGGAGAAAACCCTGGTGAGTACACATCTCCTACCAAATCTTATTGTAGTTGTGACAGTGGAGATAACCCTGGTAAGTACATACCTACCAAATCTGATTGTAGTTGTGACAGTGGAGATAACCCTGGTAAGTACATACCTACCAAATCTGATTGTAGTTGTGACAGTGGAGATAACCCTGGTAGGTACACGCCTCCTACCTGTTTTGATACGTATTTGGGTATAAAAGTAGTCACGAAGAGGCCGTGGTCTGGATGTGTTGCAGACGCAACATTTACTAAGCCTACATCAACAAAACAGAGCATGTGCGTAAAAGTCATAAAGGTCATGCAAACAAAAGAACATCACAATAGTTACAAACAGTAAAAATACTCAACAGTGCAAACCAATAACTGCAAAACTAATAGTAAACAGTCTAAGTCATACTGTCAAGTCAGATGGTCAGTCAAGTGGTGTATTTGTCAAGATAGGCTCGTGGTTAGACATTATGTCCACTTCGTGTCTTGGTGGGTGATTTGTATGGTTCAGTCACTGTGGGTGTAGCTTGCAGTGCAGCGGCTGATGTCAAATCACATGTGGTATTCGACCGAGTATTTGTGGGTAATGGCCATCTGTGATGAGGTTTGTCTGTCAAGAATGAAGTGAGATTCAGCAGATTTTCTCAGGTTCATTCTGTTGCGTCGGTAGTTGCCTTTGGGTGTGTCTATGGTGTAAAATCTTTGGTCGAGACGTTGTGTCATGATGCCTTTACTCCATTTCTTCACGCCGAGGACAAACGGTTCCATTCTGATGACATCACCCATCTCTAAAACAGGTAGATCATGGGCTTGTCTGTTGTATGAGTTGTTTGTGTCTCATTCTTTCTCGCTTTTGTTCTGAGTTGACATATCTTGGTTGTAGTAGTCTAGCTGTGGTTGGGAGTAGTGAGTGAGTGAGTGAGTGGTTGTACTGGACGGGATTCTACTCCTTGTGTAGGGGTGTTGCGCTGGTCGAGTATGGCAAGGTATCTATCGCTTTTTGAGTCCTTGCACTTCCTTGGAATGCGTTTTGCTTTCTTGACTGCAGATTCTACCTTTCCATTGACTTTGCTATTGTAGGGACTGGTTACCAGGTGTTCAAAGTCCCATGCTTGTGCAAATGTTCTAAACTCAGATGAAGCATATTGGGGTGTATTGTCGGATACTACTTTTCAGGGTTACCATGTCTCGCAAAATGGCTCTTTGTTGCCTTTATCACAGTAGCTGATCGTGTGTTTGGTTGTTTGTCTAGTTCGCTGTAATAGTCAACAGTCACAAGATAGTTAGTGTTGTCATATGTAAAGAGATCAGTCGCAACTTTCTGCCATGGGCGTTGAGGTAAATCGTGACTCATCAGTGTTTCCTTTGCTTGAATAGTTCTGCAGGTTACGCATGATGAGATATGGTGTTTCACTTCTGCTGACATGCTGGGTCAATACAGGCTAATGCATGCTCTATGTAGGCATCTCTACACACCAATATGAGATGAGTGTATGCGAGTTAGCATGTCTTTTCTTATGCTATGCGGGATGACTACTCTTCTCGAAATATCAGGCCATCATCCTGTGATGATTGTTCTCAGTAGCGTCACAGATTTTGGCCAGTCGTTCTTCTCTGATGGGTAGGAAACTAAACAAATTAATTCTGTCAAAGACGGTTTCTTTAGTACTTGCAGTTGTGGGTGGGTGTGCCCTCGACAGTGTATCTGCAATAAACATTTCTTTAACTTACCTTTACATTAATGCCATGGTTCATAGCTTTGTGTAGTGGCTTCTTCACTATTGACTCTAGTGTTTTATGATCACTATAAACAATGGTGTGGTGGCCGTATTGTAGTAGGCTAGAATAGGTGCTGAACCAATCTTAGACATAAGTTCAGTGAAAGCTGATTTGTAAACTGTGCGCCATTCCCACTGGATATCAGAATGTGTCAGCAGTCGAATTGGCTTCATTATATCAGATAGATGAGGTAGGAATCGGCTGAGGTAGTTTACCAAGCAATTGAGACGTTGGACATCTTCGGTATTTCTTGGAGTAGGCATGTCTTGTATTGCCCCCACTTTATCAGGGTCAACTTTGAGACCTTCTGACGTTAACAAATGTCCTTGGAAGCGAATCTCAGAACAACGAAGTTCAAGTTTTTTCTTCTTGAGCCTTATTCCTTTCTCACATCTGTTCAGCAGTTTCTTAAGATGAGTATCATGTTCGGTAACAGTCTCAGTGAACTATTACGTCATCAGCAATACATATTACACCAGGCAAGTTCTCTAAGGCTTGATGTAATAGTTTTTGAGTTATCTCACTCGATACATTGAAACCGAATGGAAGTCTAAGCCAATGGTATCTACCATACAGAGTAATGAATGTAGTTAACAGACTAGATTCTTCGTCAAGGACTAGACGCCAGTATGCAGAAGACAGATCAACATTTGTGAAGATTTTAAACTTCGCTAAATCAGGTAGGTGCTCATCATGCATTGGCAACTGGTACCTTTTTCGTTAGTGGGCTTCGTTGAGGGGCTTCGGGTCGATGCATATTCAGATTTCGCCTGATTTTTAGTTGTAGTAACAAACAAACTGACTAGACTATTCTGTGGTTTTGTATACTGGGGTTAGAGCTTCTAAATTCTCAAGTCAGTCAAGCTCAGCTTGCAGTTTCGAACTGAAACTGCGACTGGTCGACACATGGAGGTTCACTTCACCCTCAAACTTGCCTAGAGCAGTGTCATCGAACACATCAGGATAGTAAGGGTGATATTATCTTTGCTGTCAGTTTTCACTGCGTCGACTTGCTTGAAATTTCCCCTATGTATTGACAATAAGTTCATTGGTTCAGTAGCATGAAGACCAAGTAGTGGAGTTAACTTATCTCCCACTATGATGTACTCTACGGGAAAACTTCCTGCCCGACCTAGGATTGCAAATATTTAATCGACAAACTCTAATTGGCTTTACTTTGGTACCGTTCCACATTACTAAGGTTGTGGGACAAGGCTTGATTTGTATCTCTCTAACATATATAGCAGGCAAAAGGTTGACACTAGCTCCAAAGTCCAAATACAATTTTACTGGTTGCCTATCAATGACCATTTCAGCATGGACTTGTTTCTCTTGAGAACCAACAGTGTAGACTTTTACACATGATATCCACTCAGGGTCAGGGTTAGAGTCACTGTCAGGTCGGTTGTTAGTGTCATAGTCACAGTCAAGTACAGCATGTGCTCTACTAGATTTTCTACATTTCTTAGAAAAATGATTTCTACCCTTACATAATGAACAGGTTTTACCCCACGCTGAGCATTTAAATTTGCCAGAAACATGTTTATAACCACAAAATTGTCCCTAGTTTTTGCTTCAGGCTTTGAATATTTCTTCTCAAATTTCTGTCTTGGCTCTCTGGATTGAGTTGACTTCACCATGTGTACTTCATGTTGACCTCCCATTTCCTCCAGTTGTGAGGCAGTTGCCTCAGCCCCATGGCAAATATCAATACAGACATTTAATTTCAGATCACGCTCTTGTAGTAGACGTTTGCGGACTGCATTGTCCTTTATACCAATCACTATCTGGTCGCGGATGACAAAAATTACAAGTTTTTGCTAGTGTTCTGAGTGAAGTTACATATACATCAATACTCTCACCCGGCTCTTGGACTCTCTTGTTGAATAGATATCTCCCGTAGGTTTCACTTGTTTCTCCAATAAAATGCTTGTCAAATTTCTGTATAAATTACAAATAACTGTATCAACTAGACTTTTATCTTCCCCAGCACCTTATACACTCACAGAGCTTCAGGCCCATTATAATGTAAAAACAGGGCTAGTACACTGGAGCTTGGATCTGCAGGTTAGTAATAATGCTATAATTGCTCCAAATCTGTTTCCAGAGTTTACTACATCACCTACCAAAAATCCGTTGAAATAATAAATTACTCATAAGGCTTAATTACAGATAACAGCCCCAAACGGAAATTATTAAAGAATATACCCGGGTCCAAACGGGGAACACCCTATGGTAACATTCTCTAAGAAAAATGCCTCGCCTAAGGGGTTATCACCCAGGCGATCACTCTAAAAAGGGAAGTCCCCAGCCAAAGCTAACGGTGCGTTTCACAGAAAAAAATTTCTCCCTTTTCCCTTTGAGGTCGGACTCTCTGCTCAATGTAGCGAGTTTGACGACCTTCACAGCCGTCCATCTTTGAGGTGACAGATGGCGGGACATTCTCCCATTGTGAAGTTAGTTTCTCTGCGCGGTATTACCAAGGCGGGCACCGCTTTTGCCGGGGGGACTGAGTTGCCAATCACCGCGAATACCACCATTGGTATACAGCGTGTCCCTACTTGACATTGAGTACCAAGATAGGATCAGTACAGCCCTTATGGGCTTCATCAACAGTTACGCAACCCGCGTTGATTCCTCAAGTACAGGGACATCCCTTGTTGTCTTCCCCTACCGATGTTAGTCAGGGTGAAAGGGGCTCCTCCTATGGTAATGAGATGGCTTTCAAAGTGAATTCCCTCCTGCAGTCATGGGGTACGAGAGTCAGCTGGGAGAGGGACGGGTCGTGCTTCTGCCTGTCCCCCCTCCACCAGAACTCGGGTCAGATGTGTCGCATCCTTCCTTCGAACTCTCCCTAAGAGGATCAGGGGTGGCAACCCACATCAGTGGGGCAGCGAGCATCCACCTCTCTTATGGAGGGGGATCCCCCTTCTGGACAGGGCACGCTATGTGCTTCCCGCCAAGTTTTCCACTCCTCCCTCAGGCACGGTCGGAGCAGGCTGCATTTCCCTTGTTTCACCAAGCTGCGCAGAGTGCCCCTACTTGTGCTCTGCAAGGGGGGACTCAGTGTTGGTAGCCCTGTGCAGGGTGGTACGCAGGCCTTCTGCGGGGCGATTTGTCATCTCTCTTCCCCTCCATTTCAGGACAGTCACAGGCTACCCAGTCAACCGGATCCCAGCTGACCCTTACTAATATGCAGTTAGGACGCAGCTTGTGAACCGGGCATTGCTTGGCATGAGACTTTTGTTCCGTGCGCAGCCGGTAGTAATCCTACGCCTGGATGGCGGAGTCGCCGTCGTTTTCATTGGTGTTCTCCTCTCTCACTGCCGGCGAGACCACTCATGTTGGCTGACTCCCCCGGGCACCTTGTGTGGCCCTGGCTATGGTGGGGGCTCATAGGGCGATGGAGGGAGGGATGATTAGTACCCTTCGGGAGAAAAGGACAAAAAGACTGATCCTGTATTTGGGTTGGTGCTGTCCCATGCCTTCCGTTGGGGAACAGATACCCCACCGGGGCTATGCGAACCATCGATGGGTCCCTGGTGTGGGAAACCCATGCGGTACTGCAGCCTTCTCCATGGGTTCCCCGTCCCAATCCGAGTACTCATGCCTTTGTTAAGGCGGGTTGGGCAGATCGTGAAAGCCATGTTGCATGGTCATTTTACCAGAACCAGAGCCTGCAAGTGCATTGGGCTCTACAGGCAGAATTAAAACCCATATTTTTTTTAGAATGGGCTCCTTTGGCGTTAGAGCGTCAGCTCACCCTTTTAAGTTCTGATCGCCTGAGTGCTCAGCAATGAACCATGATCTTTGGGCAGTTGGGCCAGTTTCTGGCTGTGCAGAGAGTCGCTATGTGCGATATCATGCAAGTCCATACTGCCCTCTTGGCAGGACAGGTTTCGGTCGAGCAGGAGGCAGTTCTGAGTCAGTGCACCTACCCTACTCCATCGGGAGACGAGTTTGATCACCTGTGGTGAATGTCTTGGGTGCACGACCGGGTCTTTGCTGGCCGGTTAACTGATGCGGAGTATGGTTTGGCGGTTGCTGAGGATCAACATATCCAATTGAAGCAATCGTCCTCATTGACCAAGATAGCTAGTCCTTCTGGCCAGCAGTTCAAACCAAAACCGCAGGCAATAATAATAAGTCCCCCACTCTGAACCAGAAACAGCATTGATCAAAGCGCTCATGGTCTCTTTCTAGGGGCAGAAGAAGACTAGTAGCGGGAAGCGTCAGAAGAAGCCCAAGAACGTGGCTCTGGTGGTGGGTGTTTCGCCGGCTGCCTGGTCTTGAATGGTGGACGACTCTGGATTCCCTTTCCGGAGTCCTCGGGCTCAGTCTCCCCATCTTCGTCCTCCCACACTGCAGGCTGGAGGTCGGGGAGCTCTTGTTGTGAATGACCGATTTTTTTTACCGTGAAATTATTTCCACGGATTTTCTGCTAGGTATGATTAGGTAAACAAACGGGTTTGTGCAACCCTAATAGTTTCCATTATTGTTGATCGATAACAGGGAGTTCTGCCATAATTAATTCAACAATGTCAAAAAAGCAACAACAAAACAGAGCATGCGCGTAAAAGTCAAAAAGGTCATGCAAACAAAAGAACTTCAGCATATTGTTACAATCTGATTGTAGTTGTGACAGTGGAAATAACCCTAGTAAGTACACACCTCCTACCCAATCTGATTGTAGTTGTGACAGTGGAGATAACCCTGATAAGTACACACCTCCTACCCAATCAGATTGTAGTTGTGACAGTAGAGATAACCCTGGTAAGTACACACCTCCTACCCAATCAGATTGTAGTTGTGACAGTAGAGATAACCCTAGTAAGTACACACCTCCTACCCAATCTGATTGTAGTTGTGACAGTGGAGATAACCCTGATAAGTACACACCTTCTACCCAATCAGATTGTAGTTGTGACAGTAGAGATAACCATAGTAAGTACACACCTCCTACCCAATCTGATTGCAGTTGTGACAGTGGAGATAACCCTGATAAGTACACACCTCCTACCCAATCAGATTGTAGTTGTAACAGTAGAGATAACCCTGGTAAGTACACACCTCCTACCCAATCAGATTGTAGTTGTGACAGTAGAGATAACCCTAGTAAGTACACACCTCCTACCCAATCTGATTGTAGTTGTGACAGTGGAGATAACCCTGATAAGTACACACCTCCTACCCAATCAGATTGTAGTTGTGACAGTAGAGATAACCCTGGTGAGTACACACCTCCTACCCAATCAGATTGTAGTTGTGACAGTAGAGAAAACCCTAGTAAGTACACACCTCCTACTCAATCAGATTGTAGTTGTGACAGTAGAGATAACCCTGGTAAGTACACACATCCTACCCAATCGGATTGTAGTTGTGACAGTAGAGATAACCCTGGTAAGTACACATCTCCTACCCAATCAGATTGTAGTTGTGACAGTAGAGATAACCCTGGTAGGTACAAACCTCCTAGCCTGTCTGATTGTAGCTGTGATAGTCAAGACCTCCTTACCAATCTGTGAAAATATATTGTTTGTACGTGTAATTGATCATATGAAGATAATGTACATCGTGGATATATATGATTCCAAACCTTTTTCTTAATGGGTAAAGATATCATATAACTGCTAGATAAACAATTTGCTTTGATTTCACCATCTTAGGTCTGACACAATCAGAACAGACCAATATTCTAGAGATGTTCAAAGATGGCTGCCATCGTATTATTATTTGTACTAGTGTGGCGCAGGAAGGAATTGATATTGCAAGTTGTAATTTGGTATTCAGATATAATTATTCCAATAATGAAATTGGACGAATACAATCTAAAGGTATGCTATATTATATTTCAAAGTATTTACTGAAATAGCACTGAGGGCCATGTCAACTGGTACACAACAGTTTTACACATATTTTGTAAACTAATTCAATTGACTTCTCAAAATGTATTTTTTCTCAATTAATGACATATAATCCATTGCTTGTCTCATTATTGATTTACTTTTGCCAAAATAAGGAACGTCATGTGCTAGTCAACTCTGTTTCTATCGTTGTACTAGGCATGTACTAAAATACCATTAATGAGCAATGTTTTGACCATCATACATCTTGTATCCTGTTTTCCCATGAAGTTTAATGAAGTGAAAAGGTTCCTTCAATAGTATTATCTTTAAATGAGCAATTGAAAAGGCATACAAAACACCTTTTGTATTTAATATGTAAGTTTAGTGTTGTGTACACCCTGGGCAAAGTAACTGCTTGTTGACCACAACTGTGGCATTTACAAGCATAAAAGTACACTATAACTATATAAAATAGTAGTAACATGTCCCTTAATATTTTTGCACTAAAAATAATCAGTATACTGGCTTGTATTTAGTAGCTCATAATAGTCTTAATGTAGCCTTTTGAGATGTACCCAATCCAAAGTTATTGGGTGATCAATTAATTTGAACCAAAAACACAGTCAAGCTTCTGGAATTATTCCAAACATCCTGAATTTGTACTGAAATCTGATGAATTTTAGGCGTTCTTCAGATATTTTTTTTTCAATTTGGTGTTTGGTTTTTCTGTACAGGTAGAAGCAGAGCCAAGGATGGAAAAACGTTTCTGGTTGCAGGAGATAAAACCGGAATAGCAGCGAGGGAACAGCTGAATATGATCAGAGAGAATATGATGTATCGAGCAATATCAGAAGTTAAACAAATGCCTAACTCTGAATTTGATAACCGAATTATAGCAAACCAGAAGGATGACCAAACCGAACGTCGCTATTTAGCAGCAGCTGAAGCCAGTTCAAAGAGTAAGCTCGAAAGACAGACACCAGAGAATGCCATTAAATTTCTGTGTGGAAGATGCATGGAATTTGCATGTTTATCAAGTGACTTTCGTCAACTAAAGCAAAATCACCATGTGGTAGTTGATGAGAAATTCAAGACTAGAATCACAATCAAGCCTCATGCAAAACCAAAGCAGATTGATGATCTCTTCCTGAAAGATGGGAAAGTATACTGTAAAAAGTGCATGCATGACTGGGGTATTATGGCTAAGATTCGATTTACACACTACCCTATCTTGAAAATCAGTAGTTTTGTAATGGAGATGCCAAGTGGGGGTCGCAAGGTACGTGCTAAGTGGAAAGATGCGCCCTTCGCTATCGAACCCTTCATACCTGAATACTGTGATGGAGATCAATACTGAATTGTCACAATTATTGCACTTGAGATTTCGGTGTTGCAAAAATAGTGTAGTTGTTCATTTAGAACACTTTCAAATTTACAAGCTCTTAAAATACTTCCAAATGAGTCGATACCCAAGATTGTTTTTATAGAAACAATATATGACTAGATTTCCCCTACAGTGGTATGCCCAACTCTGGTGCCAATTTTGAATTGAAAATTTGTAAAGGCACATCTTAAGTAAAACAAATGTTAGGGTATCCTATTTAAAAAACACACTTTATCAATAATAATTTATTACTTGGAAATAATTGTCATGGACATGTATCCTAACATGTATAATTGGAAGAGACAAAAAAACATGGCAACATTGATGGCTGCCAGTTGGTCATTCGAAAACAAAATAAATCATCATGGACATGTATCTCAATATGTACAATGTTTATATCAAATTTGAACAAAAACTGACAAATCCTATCCAAGATACCACATTTTCAAAAACACGAGATGGATGCCAGTCAGCCATCTTGGATTGGACCGGCAAAATAGTTCATGTGCATATGTCCCAGATAAAGTACTAGGCACACCAAAATAACCCTAAAGCTTAAGCTCTGAAAAATGTTCAGAGAGCATACGATTTAGTTGATCTCCGGAGAGTCATGCATTTTGATGAGTGGCAATTTACATGGCAGCAACACTAGCAGGCTAGACTATCTCTGACCGGACATTCAGAGCAAAGCATCTAAGACAATTATTAGCTTTGGATATAGAAGTGACCATTCTCTGTTGTCATTGGAATATGACTTTGTGCACTTTAATAGAGATAGGGTTTTTTTGAAACTAAATATGTCTTTTCTTGAGGAGGGTAATTATGTAGACATAGTAAATAAATATACTGGTATTCCCTGCATTGTAATGTAGTGTTAATGACATTTCAGACAGGGTTACAAACATTGAGGACTTAGATTCTGATGAAATACCAAATTGAGTATGATTTATTATGGGAAATGATTAAGATAAAGATCCTTTCTAAGTCTATTTCTCATGCAGCTTTTAAAAAAAATGAACAGGGATTGCAGGGAGAGGGAACTGGAGAAGGAAATAAACACATTACCCGATCATATGAACACATTTACTAGTACTGAAATAAATGCAGAGAGAGAGAGAGATATTCTAGTGAGGGAGCTGAAAAATATTAGAGCATATAACATTAAAGGGACTATTAGTATTAATGGCCAGGAATTCGTAATAGGTCAATATGCGGATGATACTCTATTTTTAGCTCCACTGTCATCAAAGATGGGTTGACTCGTAGGTTGACTGGACCTGTCGTCGTCTGTCTGTTATCTGTCGTCCGTCAACTTTTATTCAAGCGACTTCTTCTCCCAAACCGGAAGCTAGATCACCTTACTATTTAAAGCACAGCTACCTAGGATGGTCCTCTGTTAGATTTGTTCATTTCATGACATCACATCCAAATCTTTATTTTTAGGGAATATTTTTGTCATTTTTGGTAAGAAAATATACCATATGTAAGTGACTATTTTGTTTCGACTTCTTTTCCAAAACCACCTGCCAGATTTGCTTTGAGATTCATAATGTAGACACATGGACGGGCCCTCTTTCAAATGTGTTCATTTAGTGAAGATATCGCTAATTCTGTGAAAGTTTTTTTTTATTTTTTCCCACTTTCCCATACATTATATATGGTCTGTAATAATAATAATAATAATAACGTTATTGCCTCCGTGTAAAAAGATTTACATAGGATAAGTAGAGCAAAAAGGAGTTTTAAAATAATAACAAGATATATGTAAAAATATTATAAAAAAACAAAAACAAAAGAGTATTTAAATGTTAAATAAATCGTTGTGCTGTGTAAATATAATTGGCAAGTTCTATAATTATGCCAGAATCTTTGCTTGAGAGTATATATGTGAACTGTATTTTTATTTTTGGATGAAAGTAGTGTCATAATTTTTTTAGATGAAGTTGCCCCTGTATGTGTTATATTTTGGGCAATTCAATAGAAAATGTTCTTCATTGTATTGTATAGTATTGTGTTGTTCTAGGTATGCGTGTTTTGTTCCTTTATATGCAACCAGTAATTAATAGCTTGAACTTTTGCACTGAGCAGTAGTGGATAATGACCCACCTCTGATCTTGATGCTAAGTTACAGGATTTTTACAGAATTTAATATTGTTTTTTTTTTCAATTGATGTTTTGTCCCATTTAATATTGTCCTGAATGTTCTGCAAGTCTAGGGCCCATAATTCTGAGCCATAAAGCAAAATTGGTTTTACGTAAATGGTAAATAGTTTCATTTTTAGTTTTAGTTTTATGTCTAGATTTCATAAAAGTACTTTCATAAAAGTTCATGATGTAAATTGATTTTCCAGCTTTACCTACTAAATTTGACATGGCATCAGCAAAACTCCCATTTGATTTTATTGTGATCCCTAGATAACTGTAACTGTTTGTTGTTTGAATGTTATAATTTCCAAAACTGAATTGGTATTTTTTTCTCAATGTTGATCAACCAAAGATAACAACTTCAGTTTTTGAAAGGTTCACACTCAATTTCCACTTATTGCAATACTCATTTAGTGTTTTTAATAATAATATAAAAGTGTATTGTTGAGTTCTGAACAACCAGGGCCAATGGTTTTCAAAAATTTCAGATCAAGGTCATTTCAATGTTTATATGTTTTGTTGCTATTAGACAACTGTACCATAAGACATTGTGTACTGAAATACCTGGGCCAATGTTTTCCATGGTATTTTTCAGTACACATTGTGCTAGATTCTTAACTACATGGGCGAATGTTTTTTAAAAAATGTTGAATTTCAGGTCAAGGTCATTTTAATGTTTATATGGTTGCTGGTATTAGACAACTATGTGGAAGTTGAGTTCAAGCCCCCCCCCCCTATCTTCAGGGTTGGATCAAGGTCACATACAACAATTGATACAAGATTGAGATTGTTTGGCTATATATATGGGGGTTTGTTGATACAGCACTATGTAACTGGTGCAGTTCGGATATTGATGGCACGGAACATTATTTCTGGTTTTGTGAATATGCACAAAACCTGTGGGCAGAAATTAATATTTTAATACAAAGTCAGATTTGCCATGGATTTAGATTATCTATGAAAATGGCAATATTAGGAATTTTGGAAGACATTGTAAATGCCACATGTATTAATCAGATCTTATTATGTACATGCTACTATATATACCAATGTAAGCAAAAAAACAAATTTCCGTTCTTTTCTGCTTTTTATTGGTATCTTATATTTTAATAAAAATGGGGTAAATTGGCAGAGCTTATGGAGTAATAACTGGAAAGAGTAACTCTAGTAGCATATCTGAACTGCACACTATTGTATGTTTTTGTTCCACAAGTTTAATTGCAAGTCATTCTAAGCCATTGATGTTGTATTTAAATGTAATACTTCTAAAAACAGTGTAGTGTATGTTTAATAAGAGTACATTATTGTATTATTATCATCTTTGGTACTTTCATTTTTTCTGTACAGTATTTTATTTTGTTGTGTTATATATGTATTTGTAATGGGAAATCAAACAGGTGAATTATAAAAAAAAAAAATTTGGTCCACAGAATAAATAAAACAGGATGCAAAAACTATAAAATAGACGGAGTATGCAAGTTTTGTAATGATGGAAAGGGAGATATTTATCACTTTCTAATTCTTCACAAATCAACATACCACTTGAGAAGTAAATTAATTAACCAACTATTGTAGATAGATTTTTCTCAGGTGGAATTCATTTTAAATTTGATATTTTTTCTTCAGTAAGGCTTTATGCGCAGTAACTAAGGATTGGGATACAATACATCAAAAGAAATCTGTAACTTTTTTTCTTTGGAAATTCAGAAACTAGAAACTGAATGATTTACATACCTGAGTGCTTTAATAGTTATTCTGTTAACTTGAATGTTTTATTTTAAGCCGCTACAAAGGCTAATAAAATATTAATTGCCCTCCGAGGATCCTGTTTATAGCTATTTGGTGGACAAATTCTTCATACAGCCTTCAACGTTTTGAAAAATCCACATGAAGATTCTACATAATTAACACACCAAGCCGAATCTTGTTGATAATAACTTTGAATTGAAAGAAATAAAATGTTACCTGAAACACACCATTTTATATTTAATGTCTCTATATTTTTAACTACATACCATATTATTCTTTTACAACAAATTTTTAAAAACCTATTCAAATAATACCATTGTATCTCAATGAACTTCTGTATTAGCTACTCGGACATCTGATGCACAATAAAATGCTAGAATAATACAAAATTACTTGGTGGTTTGGAGAGCCTATCATCAACACCAACTGCCTATAGCAGGTCAATTTCATTAAGTAAAATATACTCTTGGTGATAACTATACACAGGTAACTGTATAAACATATGGTTTAGTGGTTGTGTATAAAGATAAAATAAAACCCGGTCACTGGTAGCATAGTGGTTGTCGCATCAGACTCATGATCGGTAGACCCGAGTTCAAATCCTACCTTAGACTGAACATCAAAGGGTCGACCCCTACCCTGGGTGAGTGTGCCACAGACTCAATGGGAAGGCCAATTCCACTGGCCGAGATTCATTCACTAACGAATGCGACTTTGGGGGAACCTTGGTTAAGGTCCGCAGGTGCTTGTGTTCGACCGGGCCTGGTTGACGCCAGGATAGCGCATTAAAAAATTGCCATTTGATAGGAAGATGGCCACACAACCCTGTCATGTAGTCCCAAACAGGAAATGACTTCTGTGGCAAAATGCACTATGTGTCAGCACTAGCACTTGCAATTTGCACTTACAAAAAAAAAAAAAAGTCAGGAGAGACAACAGTGACATTCAATGTCCGGAACTGTCGCCTGGCACAAAAAAAAGATAAAATACAGTGTAATCGTTGAATATGTCGAATTCACATTCCCTAATAAGGTAGGATACAAATACCCCAGTACGATGCCACAACAATATGGTATGCT